TTAATAAACTAGAAAAAATGCTTGTAAAATTGCTTGTAAAAATTATATAGAATTAAATATGCAATTAATTGCACTATATTACATAATTTTTTTTATTTTAAAATTGATTTTATGTTTGGTAATGTATTTGACAAGAATTGGCTGTTTTTCTTCGAGTGTAGTTCTGCTTTTGTGCAATAAAAAGGATACGATGCGCGAGCGCACACACATAAATATCCCTGGCACACACTCTCTCAGCCACACACACTCACACACACGCAGACGATGCCGGAACTGTTGTCAAAGGAGGATGTGGATGGCCGCAGGGGAGGAAAAGGGGAGGGGGTTCGGAACTCAGAGCGGGATTCATTCAGCGGACGGAGAAGAACCGCAGCAACCGGCAAAGAGGGCAATCACCCGACCCGAGACATCGGATCACAGACTATGATTCCTGCTTGGGGTTGCAATTCCTATTGATTTTCCATTGTTTTTGTTGCCACTGCTGCAGTGCGGCAAAAAGTTGCCAGAAGATTTAGGAGCTTCCCCGTTTTGGTTAAATGAGAGAGCCCCCACCCTCAATCAGCTCTTCTTTTTATTCGCCACCCGCAGCTGTGGCTTCGTCTCCAATTTGTTGCAAGTGCCACTTGGCAAAAAATAAACTAACCCAATGCATCCCGACATCACCATTTGACACAGTATGCAGATTAGCTGCTAATGCCCCCCTCAATATTTCTCTGTACTATACAGAGATCTCGCTGGATTTCGCTCTGCAGCACTCCACTCAAGATTGATTGATTGTCAAGTGGATGTGGGAGTGGGAGTGGGTGGTTGTTTTGACCCTGTTGGCTGCTCTACAATTCCGGAGCAAATGCAATTATTCAGAATATGAGTTGATGTAAGCTTATTAGAGTTATAAGCTTAGCCCTTGGGAGAACTGAAGAAGCCCAGATACTTGATATCCGACAAATGCGGTATTTGTTCAAGTCATGACAGGGATGATTCATGGGGAAAATACTTTAAAGCTTATTTTACTCTTGTTATCAGGAATTCTTTACGCAATTATTAATTTTTAGTAACAAATATTAAATTTTTGATTTAGTAATAAATAGTGAAAACCCTTATCAAGCAGAAAGAGGCATTAAACTCTGCTGTTTTTTAATTTATTCGTAAACATTATAAAATCTCTCGTCCGCTGACGGGGTGTCTGCATTTAATTGCTGTTGCCAGCTAATAAATTTTAATTGTCCTCAATTAGCAACGGAATGCAGCGGAAAATATGGACAGCCCGAGGGGTTGGAACTCTTTTATGCGAGGCCTTCGGCTGCGTTTAAACTAATTTTTTGCCGCCCTCGGTCGGAAGTTGTTTGCGTTTTATGGGGCCTGAAAATTCCATTAGAAATGACATATTCGTCTATGCCACTCCAACGAAGACAGTGAGCCTCAATTAAAGAAGGCAGGGCCACAAATGCTGCACATTTGGCGAAGGCAAAGAGAATATTTCAAAGTGGACTGCCCAAGTTGACCCTTCTTTCCCATCGCAGCCTTCATCATCATCATCGTCGTAAGCCTCACACATGCTGCTCACATGTGCCCGCCAAGACGAATGCATTAAGCAGAAATTTCATTCATAAAGATTTCATTTCATTTCGTTTTTGCCCTGCCTCAAAGAGACCACAAGGCGTTGGCCTGGACCGGCAAAATAAGTGCAAGACGACCCCGAACCGAAGAAGATTTATTGCACAGGGGCGTAGGTAGCGCCTTTTTAAGGGGGTCATAAAAACCAGATGCCGAAAAATAAAGAAAACAAATATTGCCAAAAGTGTTAAACCTAAAATGTCGGAATATATATATTTTTTAATAACTAAAACTACAATTAACTCTTTTAAGAAATAATTTCACTAAATATAAATACATAATTTAAAGGTTAAGAAATAAATAAATTTGTAAAAACATATATATTACTGACAGGAAATATTAAAATAATATGCTAGAATCCACTTCAAATTGTTAGTTATCCGATACTTTTCCCATAATACGTGGAAGATCCCTTAAGAGCAGACCCCCCTTTTCGAAGCCCCTGCTTGGAGCATCTCAAAGGAGACAGCCTCAAATTAAAATTCGAGCAGCTTCAACAAAAATATAATAAATGAGAAATTGTTTAAATATTTGCCACACACGAATGCCAAGCATGCAAATTCATTGAGCGCTTGAAATTCTCAATTTCACAATTCGCTTTACTGCAACTCAAAGAATGCAAACATGGGGCATTAAGGAAATTATTATTGTGTACCTCGATTTTTGTAGAAGACGTGCTTTTGAGTCGCCAGCTCTTCAGTTCTTCTGGGCTAGGGTTCAAATAAATTGCTTTTGACTTGTCGCTTGAGTGGAAAATTGCACCAAACGGAAATTGAGTTTGAAATTAATAATTTGAGACCTTTTGCCATGCTGGCTGGCGGTAAAAGTGCCGAAAAAATTAATTGAAAATGCTCTACGCAAAGGAAGTTGCCAATTTCGGATCTACCTTTGTTTTTACCTATCTTTTTTTACTTTGCATAAGCAAAAAAGTTGCTGCTTTGCTTTGCTTTCAATTCAACCGCAAAGCAATCTCAATCAATCTCAATAGTTATTGACCAGACAGGCGGCCCCCCGTCGCATTTTCGATACCCACCTACCTAAGAGTCCAATATTTCACGTGCTTTTTTCGCTTCTCGCGCCGCCGTCGCCATCGATCAATGAATCTTCGACGGCGGCGCGTTTCGACCGCAATAAGTCAAATACGAGGCCAGCGAGCTTCATTATGTTCAAAAGCCCAACCGCAGAAGGGAGCCAACCTCTTCTCGCCAATAGCAAGAAAAAAGATATGCCACAGCAACAAGAACGGCAACATCAACTCGTCTTGGCCCCAAAAGGCAAGAACAATGCAGCGCAGATAAGTCAATTATATTGACTTGGCCAAGAACTCTTTGAGGCTGCCTGTCTGGGGCTTTTAAGGTGGCAACCAGCTTTTTGCTGCTCCTCTCACAATTCCCACAGTCGAAAGTTAGCGTCACCGTCGCTTCGTCTTCAGGTTTTTTCGCTTTTGGCCTGAACCAAGGCGATAACATCGACGCTGTTAATGGCAAAATGGCAAGCAGTGGGATAAAATGGATAAAATATTTCAGGGAATTATTTAATCTTAGTTTTAGCTTGCCTAAAGGAATTTTGTGTGCACGAAAATTTTATAACTATTATTTTGTGAGCATACAAATCTGTTTATTAAAAGCCGAAATGCATAGTTTAAAAAATCCTGTTTATTACGCCCGTTTTTCTATTTTAAAAACATTTAAGCAATTTGTTTAAAGTTGAATCTTCTTGCCTTTTTCATATTATTGCCAATGTATCATATTTTTTCCACTTTGCAAATCACTTTAAACCCACAGTTCTTTCAATTCGTTGAGTCGCCTTTGCCACACTTTGCTCAAAAAATATTTTTCGACCAGACGGTGTTTTATTATTTTCTCGACTGGCACGTAGATTTATACTCATATTTATTTTTTCCCCTTATTTAATTTTTTTCCGAATTGTGTAGCATCTTCGGATCGCTTTGAGCTTTCGGTCTTGGCTTTTTTTTGTTTTGAACGTCAAGAGTGTAGACGCAATTTACTGATTACATTATTGCCCGCAAATTGCTAGATTATAGTTTGCTTGTTGCCTGCAAATTATTGCTGTTATTATTGACTGTCAAATTATAGTGATTAGTTTTTCATATTTTTCAATAAAATGGAAATATTTTCGTGTAGGCAATTTCGGGCTTAATATGTGAGAAAGGTTTGCTGAAGAAGAAGAAGAAGAAGAAAGGACCGGACAAAATATGTTGAGTTAGTTTTGTCATTACAAGAGAATAAGAAAAGTTTCAAGTCTCTTAAAAATTTGTTTAATAATTTCGAACCAAAACGTATTGCATTGGCGCTATTAATAGGAACACAGAAAAGTTTTTAAAGTTTCTAAATCTACTTCAATTTCCCTAAGTTCATTATACTTAAGGCAATAACTCATAAATATATCAAACATTTTTGCCATTTTCCGTGCCATATCTGGGAGATAAAATATCTCAGAGCTGTCCTTTCATTTTCCAGATTCTTTTGATTCACCCTTCATTTTAAATTTTTTCCATCCCATCGCGACAAAGCAAACATGAAAGCGGAGACTAGGAAACCGGCAAGAAGCTCGCAGCGAAAGCAAAGTGCCGAGGAACAAGTGCAGGCCACATGGCGGAAATCTCTCTTGGACTCTCTCACAATTTCCAGAGAGCTAACGGAAAATCTGCAAAGCCCACAGAGTTTCCACGCTCTCTCTCTCTCTCTCTCTCGGCGAAAAACCAACCCCCCGATAAAATACCAAACTCAGTGTGCAGAGTCCTGCCAATTTTCCTACTGGGAAACTATGTTGGAGTACTACGAGTTCGTATTTTTCCTGATAAGCGGCCGCCGCTGTTTTCCTTTTCTCAGTTGGGGGTAGGGGGAGGGGCAGAACATAATTGTAGCTCTAGACGAGAGGGGGCACGGGGATTCGATCGATTTTTCATGCTCCCCAAAAAACAGAGCGGGAGCTCGGGCCAAAAAGAAATTGCTGCATACGCACAGGAGCAAAAGAGCCCAGCGGCTTCTCGGGCTGGGGCTCCTCTCTCTCTGTATTGGTGTGGGTTTCGCTGTCTGTGTGTGTGTGTGTGGGGCGTGTATGTATATGTCTAAGGTGTGTTAACCTCAAATGCTTCAGCACACACACACACAAAAGCATCAGAACCTAAATCAAGTGGAATTGTTTAAAAACCGATATAACAAACTTTAAATGTTTATTAGCCTTGCTTATAAAAAATCACCATAATAAAATCCCCGCCAAAGGAAACTTAAAAGGTTTCCTTTTTTATTTAGTAAACCTTTTTAAAGTAGCTATGCCACTCATTTATTATTTCACCTTTTTTCATTTTTATCCATTAAACCATATTGTTATTATAATAAACTTTGCTTCAACTTTATGCTTACTTTAAGTTTTTTGTGTTTTCTCCGATTTTCTTTTCCGTTTCTTTATGTTGTAAACTTCAGCTACTAATCCCAGTTATTGATTTTTATCGAGTGACTGTGTTTTTACTACTATAATCTCTTTTGGGACTTAAAACCCGGTTAACTTTACGTTTATTTGCTTTTAGTTTCCATCGACACTTTTGCACGGTGGACACTGACACGCACACTTGGATATATCTTAGATATATATATATTCCTTGTTGGTATATGTTGTATTTTCTTTGTTAAATTTATTTTTTTTATCCAGCTTTCTTGGGCAGTAAAGAAATTCGTATTAGCCTTTCTTTACGGACTTTTCCGAATTTATTTAAATTATTTTCGCTGTGCCCATTTCGCACACACAAACACACATGCACTAAAACACGCGACGCGAGACACGCACACAGACACAGCAAGCGTATAGAATTTTTCACTGCGCCTATGTATTCTGGGGGTGGTGGGCGGTACGGTATATGAATGTGTGTGGCTTTGTATATCCTTTGGCGCGGACCGAACTGAAATTCAAAAGACTGGAGACACCGCCGTCGTCGTCGTCCTTCCACGAGCAACTCAATCGACACAATGAGCCCAGAGCATATTGGAAAAGTCCTCACAACTGATGGGAGAGCGAGATGTCTAGGCCAACTGAATTTTCCACCACCAAAAAAACATGTGAAAGCAGCGCTGCAGAGAGCAGGGTTCTCCTGTTCAGTGAGTGGGCGCAGAGAGAGAGAGAGAGAACAGAAGGAAAACTCTGCCAAGGGAAAACTCTCTATCTGGCTCTCCCCGAATCATATGTTTTCCATCCTATCCAAAACTGTGAGCCTACAGATTCCATCTCCTCCACAACCGCAGTTGGAACTTCCTGACTTCCTACGTTTCGTTTATAGCTAACCTTTGAGCCAACTTCCCCCGATCCCCTCCCCATCTCGTCCTTGGGCCAATAGGTGTTGCTGTTTATCTGTATTTGTGTAATATCCTGTAGTTTCATGAGTTTCCGTTACACTCTTTACGTGCGTTATATTTTTTTTACACTTTTTGAGGGGTTTTTTGGGCAAGCGATGCTTGGAGTTGATGAGTTTGTGGCTAGGTTTTTGTAAACTTTTTAAGGGTTTTGCAAAAAGTTTGGAGTAATTTAAGTAGAAGGCTTAAAACATGAGAAGGGCTATTTAATAATTTACAGTAAAATACATGGTAGACAATTAAGTGGAATTTAAAAGTTCCCAAAAAAGTGCAATCGCTCTCAGAAAATTGTGTAATGTAGTTTATTACGTTTTAATGAATTATAATAAATTTATTTTACATTTTGCCAAGAGAGGTTCAAAATATTTATATTTTTTAAGAATTAAAATTAATTAAAAATTAAATTTGTATGATACAAATCATTCTATTATCTAAAAGCTTCTCTGCTGTATTAAAAACCCGCAGCTGCAGTAACCAATTAAATTTGATTTTTCCATAGCAATTTCTAAATTTCCCGCCCACTTCCACCGGAATTCGCGACACACCCAAACTTTAGGAGCCAGCACTAAAATAAAATCAAGTAGAATAAATCAAAACTGCTAGAGGCAAAATGCAAGAGTCATAAATACTCATTTTGCATGAATGAGAAAATAAAATGAAATTTGCATTTGACTGCACACGACGACGACGAAAATTATTTGCCAGCAATATACGGTTATTTTAGGTTGAACCCGACAGTTATGCACACAATAAACGCCCTGAAGTTCGTAAAGGACGCAACAGGAAGTTGGCCAAAAACAAAAAAAAGAACGGGAAGAAAAAACAAAAAACTTAAGAAGAAGGAAGGAAGCACGCAAAATGCGCGCCATATGATCGAGGGAAAAAGAGTGGAGAAATGGGGAGAGCAGCGAAATGGGAACACGTCAAGTGGGAAATGCAGGAAAAACGAAGAAAACCCCCCGAAAATTGCCTCTTTCGTCTTAGAGAGTCTGCGTTGTTTACAACTCACACACACACTGCGATAGTATTACAAACACAAAGAGACACTCACACCCACACCATGAAAGGTCTTCAAGTTACCGTTACGCGATTCCAACTGGAATTAAATTGCGAAAAAAAAGTCGGAGCTAATATTTCAAAACACACCGAACGCGAAGCCAGCAAACGGAATTCTGAGTGGCACCTTTGAGATATTATATCCAAGGAGCGGTCGCGGAACGCAACGGAAACGGAACACAGCCCCTACCAACAAAAATGCAAAAAAAAAAGAAAGGAAAGGAAAGGAGAGAGATGACACGAGAGAGCGAGAAAGAGAGGGGTGCACAATTTTGCAGACATTTGGCGAATGCAATTCTTTGGAGAGGCAGAATGGGGCAAGCGAAACCCCGGATTAAGGAGCCCCCACGAATTTCTGTAATTAAGCAACCAGTAATGCATGAAAGGGGGTGTGGAAAATGGGCGGGAAAACTAAGGGAAAAGGGCTAAAAAGGCAGCACGAGAAAAGGGTAAGGCGGTTTTAATTTCAAATTCTAAAAGAAGGCCAATTAATTAAGCAGGAGAGTCGGATTTAAAACGACTGCTGGAAAAGATGGTAAGGTGATGATGATGATGGTGATTTTGTTGACGATGCCGTTGACAGGTGGCCCAGAGGAGTGGAAAAGGGGGGTCAAATCTCAGCAGTTTGAACCCTTACACAAAATGTGCGTTAAAAGCTTTCAACCGAAATGCGGGTAAAACTTGGTTTCAACGGAAACCCAAACAATTGTTTGGCAGTTGTTCAAAAATAGGGTAAAGGGTAGTATTGATTGTAGATTTATTACATTTTACAACATTTTTACCAAAATTCTTTCAAACTCTTTCAGAATTAAATACACTTTTCATGTATTTATTTAAATTTTAAGGACCAACAATATTCCCAGCGGATTAGCCTCTGTTTCTGGTCATAAATCCCCGTCTAGACACTTTTATATTTATTTAAGCTAAAAAGTTTTGCAGTCAGTCCCCAATATAATACACCTTTCCAAAACGGAACTCAGTGTGGAATCCATCAAGTTTTAATTTTCTTTGGACTTTTTTGCTATTTTGTTTTTATAACCTTGCAGAGGGTATTATGATTTCAGTCAGAAGTTTGCAACGCAGTGAAGGAGACGTTTCCGACCCCATAAAGTATATATTCTTGATCAGCATCACAAGACGAGTCGATCTAGCCATGTCCGTCTGTCCGTCTGTCCGTCTGTCTGTTTCTACGCAAACTAGTCTCTCAGTTTTTGAGCTATCGGGACAAAACTTTCGCAAAAGTCTTCTTTCTATTGCAGGTAGTATATATGTCGGAGCCGACCGGATCGGACAACTATATCTTATAGCTCCCATAGGAACAATCGGAAAAAAAAACTTTAAAAAATTCTAGCTTTGGTGTTTTTTGAAATATTACCTTCTACTTTTGGGGATGTTATTTTTTAAATATTTCTGAATTTCGAATTAATTATTTAAAAAATCGGACTACTATATCATATAGCTGCCATAGGAACGATCGGAAAATTAATGGAAAAGTAATAGGAAATAAATTCAAGCTTCTTTGGTTTTTATTGTATTATCTTCTACTCTAGGATATGACTCTTTTTAAATATTTCCGAATTTCAATTTTAATTTAATCAAAATCGGACGACTATATCATATAGCTGCCATAGGAACGATCGGAAAATTAATGGAAAAGTAATAGGAAATAAATTCTAGCTTCTTTGGTTTTTATTGTATTATCTTCTACTCTAGGATATGACTCTTTTTAAATATTTCCGAATTTCAATTTTAATTTGATCAAAATCGGACGACTATATCATATAGCTGCCATAGGAACGATCGGAAAATTAATGAGAAATATTAGAAAATTGAACATTTTTGCGATTTGTTAATTAATAGGAATGATCTGCAAGGGTATATAAGCTTCGGCTGGCCGAAGCTAGCTTCCTTTCTTGTTTAATTTTGTATTCATATTTAGAGGCGCTATGCATTCGCTGAATATTTTCAGCAAATTTCATATTCATAGCGCGTTGCGATGTTTTTTATTAGAACGATGGCAAACAAAACAAACAAAAAATCTAACCGAAAATGTTTACATTGACGGGGGGCTTCATACCATCATGGTTGGATATTTCCCACCGCGCTTGTTGACTCTTGGCCGATACTTTTTTGCGTTCCCTGGGCATAATTTCGCTCATTAAAATTCCATAAATCGAGGCGAGAAGCGGCACCGGCATATAATTGCTTTTCACTCCTGATTGCATCGCATGTTCGATAAGAATTGATTGGATTGTATCGGATTGGATGCGGACCGCATCTCACCTCGCGCCAATTAAAAGGTTCTCAAGTTGTCTCGTGCTCGGGGGTTCTGAGAGATATCCAACCCAGCTCGACACTTCCTCTCCTTGCTGGCCCAACATTTGGTCGCACATTGCCGGCACATGTTTGCTTTATGAGTTATTCCCCTGAACATTTTTGAAAAACAAAGATGAGCATATGGGCAGGCAAAAGTAAGGCCCTCGCCCTCATAAAAGGTTCAATTTCGTCTGGATCAGTTGACCTTTCGACGGGAATGGAAATGGGGATTGTAAAATGACAAGGGCCACGAATGCGCACACGCTTTGACTTTTTTTTAATTTTTATTGTTTTGACTCTATCAGAAAGTGCTTAATCCCGCTCATCCATATGGGAAACATGTCCGGGTTTGTAATGATGATGACATTATTGGCCGCGGCAGACCAGCATCTTTTTTGGTGCGGTTGCGGCTTTAAATATAATTATAGGGCCTGGGATCAGGAACCCCAAAAACAAAACTCAAACCCAACGATCAATGCCGCAGTACTTTGTCTTTCGTCAACATCTGCTACTTCTTTTCTCCGATCTTTTTAGTGCATTTTTATGTCGCAACCATTTCAACTCAGTGCGCTTCGTTCGCCGCACTGTTGTGACATTTGTTTCATTTGTCAGCTCTTCATTAGTCATCCAAGGACCTGCCCGGACACTCCCTGACACTCGATATGTGTCGATATCAATGAATTTGTCACTAATTTATGTTCTTTCATCGACACCTAAGGGAAGAGGCAATTAGAACGCGTGGGATACTAAATAAAAATGCATAAAAACTTTTTAGAGAAATGAGGGTGTAAATGTTGCAGATAAAACTCCTTGGTTCCAGAAATGTCATAAAAATGAGTGACAAATATTTTAGCCCTAATCTGTTTATTCCCTTTAAAAATATTTCCCTAAATACCATATACCAAAGAAAATGTTAAATCTCTTATTGTATTTCATAAGATTTGTTTACCCCCCTTACATTCATTTAATTATTCATTGTATTTCAAATTTTGCTTGCAACTCACTTGTCATTCTGTGTGGCTTCTGCATTTCAACTTTGCATTAAAACATTTATCTTCATTTTGCGAAAACAACTCACAGCCGCATTATCCCCCGCATTTTTGGTTCGCCCATGTAGTCTGGCCGTGTTACCAGTTGAGACACATTTCTGACCAGTCCGACGGCGGCGTCTGACGTGGCCTGTATCTCGTCTCATCGCTAAGGACCACGCTCAACACCCAGAAAGGCAGGCAGGCAAGA